TTTATTTATTTGACAGAGAGAGACACAGTGAGAGAGGGAACACAAGCAGGGGGAGTGGGAGAGGGAGAAGCAGGCTCCCTGCGGAGCAGGGAGCCCAATGTGGGACTCGATCCCAGGACCCTGGAATCATGACCTGAGCCGAAGGCAGACACTTAATGACTGAGCCACCCAGGCGCCCCAGATGTTGGGTATTATCTCTCAGCTGTAGTGTTCACTCTGAGCAGAAATGGTTCCATTTAGAAATTATGTTAAAAATTTAAAACTTTCAAGGCACCTCAGTGGCTGTCAGTTAAGCATCTGACTCTTGATTTCGGCTCAGGTCATGATCTCAGGGTCCTGGAACCAAGCCCCTATTTGGGGCTCCACACTCAGCACGGACTCTATTTGAGTTTTTTCCCCTCTTCTCCTCCCCCACAATTCACACTCGTGCTCTTTCTCTCAAAATAAATAAATCAATCTTTAAAAAAGAATTTAAAACTTTCCTGGTTCCTAATTTTCTCCTTATATTAAAATCATATATTTCAAAATACATTTTCAGTAAAGAATAAATAGTCCCTTACAATTGCCATTCCTGAAATAATTAAGTAGATTCCTTGTGGCATTTCACCTTCTCTACAAATGACATCTCCATAGTCAAAATAGGCAAGTTTGGCTCTCTCCTGCAAGAAAAATAAAAAGGGAGTCAACACAAAAGTTTCATAGTCTACTTTTCTAAATAGAAATAAGACTTTAAAGCTAAAATGGCTTTCAAGTAGAAAAAAAAAACCCTCAAACTATATTCTATGGTTTGTTAATTAATTATAACATGCTGACACACCTCATCAATTTTTTTTTAAATATGAGGCTTTTTTTTTTAAGATTTTATTTATTTATTCAGAAGAGACAGAGAGAGACAGGCAGAGGGAGAAGCAGGCTCCCCGCTGAGCAGGGAGCCTGATGCGGGACTCGATCCCAGGACTCTGGGATCATGATCTGAGCCAAAGGAAGACGCTTAATGACTGAGCCACCCAGGCACCCCTCATCAATTTTTTTAAAAGAAAGGGACAAGCAGGCAAACGGTAGACTTTGTGATTACAGTGACTGGTGGAAACACCCAATAAATGCTCAGTTGAGTAGATATTTACAATAAAGTGTGATACTTCTGACAAAGGAGACAAAGACAGGATGCTCTGGAAAAATCCAGAAAGGCCCCAGGACCCTGTCTTGGGTGTCCAGGAAATACTTTATTTTTTTTTAAGATTTTATTTATTTATTTGACAGAGAGAGAGAGTGAGAGCAGGAACACAAGCAAGGGGAGTGGGAGAGAGAGAAGCAGGCTTCCCGCCAAGCAGGGAACCCGATGTGGGGCTCAATCCCTGGACCCCGAGATCATGACCTGAGCCGAAGGCAGATGCTTAATGACTGAGCCACCCAGGTGCCCCGTCCAGGAAAGACTTTAAAGAGGAAGGAACAGCTAAGCTGAGGCCTGAAGGAAGGGTAAGAGAGAGCCAGGATACAATGACTTGAACATCATTCAAGGGCAGAGGATTCAGTATATGCAAAGACCCAAAGTCAAATAGAACATCTGCACTTGGGGTAACAAAACTGCAGAGGATTCAGTATGTCTCAGACAGGGAGGGGTGGAGACCAGGACTGAGTTATCAATTAGGCTTCAATAGGCATAGTGCGTAGGATTCCCAATACTTTAGAGACTCACAACAACATTCTGGTTTCTTTTAAAATCAGAAGGGAATAAAACAACTTCTGGTAGAGGAAAATGTTTTAATACTAAAACATTTAATACTAATATATTCATCTTTATACTAACATAGTTATAAAGTATAATTTTTTGTACTTTTTGATGGGGGAAGAGGCCCACTAAGGCAAAAGTGCCAGGGCTCGTGAAAGTTATCATGCAGCCCCAGTGGAGAAAGGACTGGAGAGGTGAGCCAGAGCCAGACCTTGAAGGGTCTCAGAGACACATTAAAGAGTTTTGGGCTTTTTCCCAAAACCAAGGTGGAGCCACTGAAGGGTTTGTAACAGGAGAATCAGGGGGACAGATTTGCATTATACAAAGATATGTAGGAAACATATTTCTAAATTATTCATAGTGGTTATCTCTAAGTGTGGGCTAAGAGTGACAAGTTTTCACTTTTCACTTTATGTACTTCTAAATTATTTGACAGTGTTGAAACAAGCATGGATGACTTCCCAATGTTTTCTTAAAGTCACCTAAAGCCAATTATCCAGCTTATGTATTATTCAGACCTTGGTTTTCTACCATTGACTTCTGGCTTATCATTATAGACCATTACGTTTTTAATTAACCACACCAGTTGGAGGATGAAAGAAGGGAGGAGTAGTTAAAATTAACTATTGTAGCTGTGATGGAAACCAAGATTGAAATTATAGTCTACAATAAAGGGTGTTTGTTTTGTCTACTATGTGGATTTTGGTTAGCCACATAATCCCTGGGCTGTCCCTAATGAGAATAATGCCTATGTATTTCCAATTCATCACAATTTTTATCCTGGTAAAATCCATATGAAAAGGCTCTCAAGAACCAATGTATCGAGGAAAGGGGGCACTTAGACTGAGAGAAGCCTGTAAGAGGGTAGAGAAAGTCCAACAGCCTTGTAGAGGTATGGCAAGTTAGGGATGGGAAGAAGGTTGTGCCTCCATGACAGGTTCACCTCAGGTGTCTGTGAATCACTAAATTATAGAGCTGCCTTCTTCTCATTGGTTTCCCATTCCTCCCCATTCACTGCTGGATGGTCAGTTGGTTACACTTGTGAAAATTACTACCTATAAAGAACCAAATTCTAATTTTATCTTAAATTGGATTTTAACAAAACTAAGCAGAAGGCAAATTATAAGAAACACTTTGAGATACCTTCTTCCCAGTCCAAGCCCACCTCCCACCTCCCACACCCATTTATTTGAGGTCCATTTTCCAAACTATCCCCTATGGCCCCTGGCCATCCCATCAGGTTTCCTCCTCCTCCTTGCAGGCATACTTGTACTCACCAAAGCAGGACATCAGATCCAAGCTAAACCAGTTAGATTTCTCTCTCAAGAATTTGAACTGAGAGACAAAAAGCCTGGGAATTGAGAACTGAGCATGACATCCAAGTGCTAGAAGAAAGGTCCAAAGATGCCCACCAATGATATTCCTGAGCTGGTCTAAATCCCACCATACCCACTGTTAGTTAGCTAACTATTTCTTAGCGGCTTCTATATACCACCCCATTGTCTTTTCAGTCAACTTCCCCTTTGCTTAAACTAGTTCAAGTAAGCTTTTGTTACTTTCAACCAAAGGAGTCCTTTTTTTTAAAAGACTTTATTTATTTGAGAGAGAGAGAGAGGGAGGGAGCATGAAGGGGGGAGGGGCAGAGGGAGAAGCAGACTCCCTGCTGAGCAGGGAGCCCTATTCAGGGCTCGATCCTAGGACCCCAGGATCATGACCTGAGCCAAAGGCAGACACTTAACCAACTGAGCCACCCACGCACCCCACAACCAAAGGAGTCTTAATTCAAGTAAATTTGAAATCAATTTCAAAAAAAATTCAAAAATTTCTAGCATGAAGAAAACATTAGTATAGTAAAAAAGGAATCAACTCAGTAGAACCTCATTATGATTGTTGTCTTTCTAAAAAACAAGACATTATGGACAAACAGATGCCTTATATATCTACCTGCCTAGATCACAAATTATGGTACAACCAAATTTGTGGTAAAGCAAACACCATTTTTTGTCACAGAGTTTTCCTGATTCTAAAAATCTAGCAGAGATTTTAACAGGTTGATGAAAAAGTTACAAACCTTTTAATTCATACAATAGCCACTGAAAACCAAAACCACAAACTGGTGGTCTTGGGTCACATCTAATCCAAGGATATATTTTGTTTGGCCTGCATGATACTTTTAAAATTTTGAATTCCTGCCAAATTTTTAAAATTTGGAAATTTCACATAAAAATTCAGATCTACAGCTTTTGTTTTTAAAAAAAAAATCTGACCTCTACATTATTAAATCTAACAGTCAATTTTCAATCTTCATCTGATTTGTTCTCAGCCTCATTTGACATAGTTGCTTATCTTCTCCTTTATGAAATATTTTCTTCACTCAGCTTCTGGAACACCACTCTCCTTTAGTTTTCCTCCCACCTAATGGATTACTCCTCAATTCTTCTTTTTTTCCCAGTTTTATTGAGATGTAATTGACACACAGCACTGCTCAACTTTAAGGTATACAGCATAATGACTCAACATACATATATTATGAAAGAATTACCACAAATTTACTTAACATCCATTACCTCTTCTAGTTACAAAAAAAAAAAAATTCTTTTTCTTGTGATCTGAACTTTTAGGATTTAATCTCAGCGACTTTCAAATATTACCATGTGGCAGTGTCAAATATATAATCATCATGTTGTACAGCACATTCCTGGTACTCATTTATCTTATAACTTGGAAGTTTGTACCTTTTGACCATCTTCCTTCAATTCCCCCTCCCCCCATCCTCTGCCTCTGGTAAACACAAATCTGATCTCTTTTTCTATTCTTTTCACTAATTCCTCCACATCTCCCCTCTAAATGTTGGATAGCCCGGGACTCAATCATTGGATATCCATAATAATTCCTTAAATTATCTCATCAGGTCTCTATGCTGACAACTCCAAAATCTCTATCTCCCATTTGGCCTCACACCTGAATTCCAGTCACATATCCTACTACCTACTCAACATCTCCATTTGGATGTCTATGGCTTTCTTAACTCATTTAGAATCGAACGCTTGTGCCCACCATATAAATCTTCTCTTCTCCATCTAAGTCAACAGGAACTCCATCCTATTTTCAGACTAAAATCCCAGAAGTTGTCTTCTCTCTCTAACACTCCTTCTATCAGCACCTAACAGCTCTACCTTCAAAACACATCAAGAGTCTGACCACCTACCACTTCCTCTAATCCAAGTCCTCATCACCTCTTGCCTCCATTACAATCATCATCTCCCTGGCTTTCCCTTGTCCCCTTAGAGCCTATTCTCAACACAGCAGCAAGGAGGTCATTTTTCGTTGTAAGTTAGATCATATCACTTCTCTGTTCAAAACTTTTCCATAAGTTTCCATTTAATTCAGAGTAAAATCCAAAGTCCTGGCCTACAGTGTTGTACAAACTTGGGCTCCACAACTACTCCGACTTCATTGGCTCCTGCCATCACTGCTTCTGCCACAGGGGCTTTGGGGATGTTCCTTGAACAAACTGAGCACACTCCACACCAGGGCGTTGAACTTGCCTGGAATGCTCTTCTCCCAAATTATCTACCTGGTATGCTACTGCTTGCAGATCTCTCTTCAAATGTCACCTTATTAGAGCAGCCTTCCCTGATCACCCCGTATAAAATAGCTTCCCAACTATATTCCCTTTTCTCCCTTTTTCTCCACGGCATTGACAATCATCTAATAGACTATATATTTGTGTGTTGGTGTATTTATTGTCCATCTCTATCCATATAATATAAAGTCCAAAGCAGGGACTTCATTTACTTTGTTTACTGGCATTATCCCCAAACCTACAACAGTCTCCAGCACAAAGAGGATATTCAATAAATATTTCTTGAAAGAGTCCAAACTCCAATAACAACATTCAGCTGACTTTAGACAGACCATGAACTCTGGAATATACCACAATTTTTACTGTTCCCTATAATACTATACACAGCTTGTTTTACTTTTATATCATCTGCCCAGCCTGTATAGTAATTTAAACTTGAGTCAGAATAGAAGACAGAAACTTTACCTTGAAGAACTCAATGAGAACATCTTTTTTTTCCAGCCAAACAATATTATGAAGATATTTATCAGGAGTAGGTGGCGGGATTGCCATTGGAAAGTTATTCAGTGCTTTTATTTTTGCAAGGAGTACCTGAAAACAAACAATCAAAATAATGGTGATCAGATCCTGTGATGGGAAAGGGATAGTAGGTAAAAATTAAGAAAATCTAACAAAACTACTGTTACATAAATTTATTTTGATTTTGACTCACAGTTTCTCTCACTCTACTTAAATTATCCTCTAACCTTTATTGGTCCCTATTCTTCCTTTAACTCATTGAATTTATGAATTGATATATTAACTCAATTTGAGTTTATTATCTTTATAATCCAGTTAACACCGCATGCCACTGTGTCTTTTTTTTAATAATTTTTTATTGTTATGTTAATCACCATACATTACATCATTAGTTTTTGATGTAGTGTTCCATGGCCACTGTGTCTTAATTTCAAATCATCTAAACTTCACAGTTGATTACTGTACAATTTAATGCCACATTTTCTCAAATATTTTTCATATGTATGATTTGCTTCTCTAAATTCTTCTAATTTTGAAAGATATAGTTCCAGCTTTGTGGGCTCTCAGAAAACTCTGGCTTCCCAGGTAAGAGATAATCACTTGTCTGCCTTATTCCCATGGCGGCTCCTACACATCTCCCTATGGAACTGATTACATTATAGTATTATTATTTTTACTTATCTGCCTCACCCTCCTATTATGTAACTTTTGTTGAATGTATGAATAAAGGACTAAATGAAAGAATGAGGAAAAGCCAATGGACTTTGGGGGCAATGTTGCACTAAGTATCCCAATCTCCTCAAAAGTCCATGGCACATAGTACGTATTCAACATATATTTACTCAATTAAATTGAATTAGCTAGCTAACTCCTTATGACTATTTCCTTATGCCTTGGAAGATAATTATCTCTTTGGCTGACAACTAGGCAATCAGTATGCATTCAATAAGTAACTATTGAATGATTGATTTACCCATTACCTTTCTAGACAAACCTATAGGAAAAAAATCTCTCTCCTCATAAGGGCTATTATTTATTTATTTTAATTAATGGGTATCAAGCATTCAATTGAATCTGATATAGCCTTCAAAGTGATAAGTGAAAAAAATAGAATAGAAAACACAGTGTGTGTAGAGGTATCACTTGAAGAATACTGTAAAGTAGTCCTTTTCTTCTGTCTTTCAGACACTAAGGAGAAATCGTATTACCCTTTTAGTCCTTTGCCATGATATTAGTCTAAAGAGATAGAGCCTTAAAGGAAAAGTCTGTCCTGTCCCACACCTATCTCCCTTTGGGGACCATGGAGAGGGGACTATGTCCGGGGAATGACCAGAAGCACAGTGCATGTGACACTTGGCCAGGAGCTGCCAGTGATAAGGAAAAACATATGACACTCCAGAGCAGCTAATCAGTGGGCAACACAGACAGAATGTGGGACCAGAACTTCTATGGGGATTTTTTGGTTTTTTTGGTTTTGTTTTGTTTAAGATTTTATTTATTTATTTATTCATTTGCCAGAGAGAGACAGCAAGAGACGGAACACAAGTGGGGGGGAGGGCAGGGAGTGGGAGAGGGCAAGGCAGGCTTCCCACTGAGCAGTGAGCCCAATGCGGGGCTCAATCCCAGGACCCTGGGATCATGACCTGAGCCGAAGGCATACACTTAACGACTGAGCCACCCAGGCGCCCCAGAACTTCCATGTTTCTTATGGCCTTATGCTAGGAAACAGATTCTTACAAAAGATAGAAAGAACAATCATATTTGCACAAATACACAGTCTAGATGGTAGATGTGAATAAATAGCATTAAATATTAACCATATTTTCCTTTGTCTTATGTCCCTATTTTTTTTGCAAACACATATATTATTTTTCAAAAGTCTATTTATCAGCTAACCAATGATGGTGTCTTCCCTGCTCCTCTCCTCAGAACTGCCCCCTCCCTGATCCCCACGAAACACACACAAGGGCCGGTGTACACACACAAGCTGATCCTTTCCCTACCGTGTTAAACATTATGTGATTCCCACCACCCTTGCCACAGCTGCTAGGACTGGGCACAGCACATTCTACCAGTAGATAGAGAAGCAGAAAAATGTCTTTGGGTTTGTAGAGGGAGCCAAAAGAAGATGGCACAGAGGGCAACCCTGATATGAAATGGAGAATCTGGAAAGCTTTCTAGGTCTGCAGTCAAGTCCCTTCCTCAGGCCTGGCCACATGGTCTGGCTATTGTGGGTTCTGTAAGACACCATGTGTCTTTATAATAAATCCCCCAACCCCATTCCTCGGCTAAGCCTAACTCAGGTTGGTTTCTGTTACTTGCAACCAAACAGTTTTGACATGGTATACCAGGTAGCATTGGTGCTAGCTGCCACTGGCATTAACAAAGGCTATAGGCAAAGGACAGAGTTAACACCTGATTTAATCTCCCTCACTCATTACACTCAAGTAACAGTGCAGGCTTGGGTGTTGGGCCTGTGGCATCAAGCCACATGGAAAATTACTTTATTACCTTATTCATCTCGATGCCCTCATGTTTATCAATAATGCCTCTTGACCAAAGGAAAGTGAGGTTTTTCAGAGCTTTAGCAATCACACTCCGGATTGCCTGCCTAGTCTTCAAAGCAATGACAACATCGCGACCCTCATGCTCTATGAGTCCTGAAGCAAATAAAACTGTCAGTAAGCAAACAATTCAATAAGCACAATAATACCTAATATTTGTGTAGTGGTTTATAATTTCCAAAGTATTTACACAGTACCTATCATTCCTGTCTCATACAGAATTTGTGAGGCTGGGAGGACTAGAGTTATTTTCAACTCCATTTTATGGAAGAGAACATTGAAAACTGGCTTCCCCCACCAACTAGGAGAAAATCACTTTCTCTGCCTTATTTCCATGATATGTCCTACATATCTCCATTATGGAACTTATTACATTGTGGTATTTTGATTTTTACTTATTTGTCTCCTGCTAAATATCATATAACTTTTGTTGGGTGAATGAATAAATGACTTAACAAAAGAGCCCCTGGACTCAGCTGGTGGAGCTTTCTGAAATCAAATCACATATCTTGTCCTCTTTAATGAACACCAAAAGTCACGAACTGGACTGTGAGTCACGACCAAAACTGCATCTCTTTCATCTTTGTACTCCTAACATGGACCAAAATGCCTGATATCTGGAAGGTACTCAGACTTTTTTTTTAACTGGCTGGTATAATGAAGGATAGTGTGATCAGGAACATAGGTCAGTGGAGCACTTGACTCTTGATCTCGGGGTTGTGAGTTCAAGCCCCACATTGGGTGTGAAAACTACTTAAAATTTTAAATTTTTTTTTTAACAAAGGAACTTAGGTTTCAATGTCAAGTACACCTTGGCTGGAAATCTGGCTCACCACTTAACCACCCATACGACTTCAGGCAATTTAACCTTTCTAAATCTTAAATCTTATAGCTTCATCATCTATAAGATAAAGATGATAATAATATTTGCCTCATAGAGTAATCATAAGGATTAAATGAGATAATGCATATAAACCTGTTAACACAGTTCTTGATATAATTAACATTTGACAATCAGTTTTAGTAACCATTTGGGAACAGGCACTCCCTTTTACAGGACTGAATCAAGAAAACTCTGTAATATTCCACAGTAGTCTAAAAGCAATATGAGACAGCAGCTCCTAGGCCGGCCCCTAATCTTTAAAGGCACAGAAATAAAAATCTACCTATATGTAAAGGCAACAGTGGGTCCTGGATTTTCTGAGACAGTGCCAAAATTTCTGACATATTTTCTCCAAATTCACAATTTCATTCATTAGGCCATGTTCTTCCAATTTTGATTTGGAAAGTATCATCCTCATAAACCCATATAGCATCTTATAATGTGGTTATGAATACAAAGTGGTTTTACTTTATTTTATAATAACTTCCATTTGTGCCAGGCTCTCTCCCAGATACTTTTGCATACACCGAGAGCCTGGTCTACAGCCCCTTACAAGGAAAACAGACCCAAGAAGCTTTGTATAAAATCCTAGGGCTCCTGCTGTGTGCTTCAACTCAAGCAGAGTGATTATAGATGCTCAAGAAATGACAACCCTTGTAGCCCCACATTCCTGAGTATCCTTGCAAGCAAAGTAAAACAAAACAAAACACCCTTTGTCAAATGTAATCATCATGTGTCTTTTTCTTACAGCCTTAAGGAATCTGATCTTGCCACTTTAATACACTTTCTATACTCCTCATTCTTTCCTCTATGTTCCCATAGCAAGTGCAAGACTTCCTCTAACTTTCTGCAATTATCCATTGATATTCTCATACCCTCCACTAAGCTCTGCATTTTTGGCATACCTGACCTGTGTTCAATAAATGCTTGTTGTGTGAATAAATGAGTAATTGAAGGAAAGTATGAACTTGTCTTCCCTTGGTAAAATTATGGGATAATAAGGTGTGATTTCAGGAAATCAGATACTCCCAACTACCTACCTAGTTCTTTGACAGCATCTCGTTTGTTGGTTTCCAAAATTTCATATAATTTCTGTAAGAAGTTAAGAAAGACATTAATTTGTTATTACACTAACTGCATGTCTGGCTTTAAAATCTGAGAAAAAGAAGAAATCCCACTTAGTTTATGATTTGGGGGAGATGTTTAGCTCAGTTCTTCCCTCTGTGCCAATTCTGCTGCTTTCCCTGTGTTCCCACTCATATTACAATGAATAGTGTGCAGTCAGTAGCTTGCATAAGTACTGGACCCAGCCTTTCTCAGAAAAGATTAGTGTGCATTCTACTGTGCACCCAGGAGAATTTTCACAGACAGAGCTTTGTTAAGAGAGAGCCCACTGAGCAGCTCTTTGGGCAGCCAGTCTATCAGGAGCATAAAAACAAGGGGAATAATGAGAAACGATGGTATTGATTAGTTCATGTTTCCTATGGATAACTCCTGACATAACTAAGAAATAGCTCTACTCCAGGGCTAACCATGGTTTAAGCTGTGTTCAATCATAGAGTGGGTATTGGTCAAATGCCCACCATGTCCCAGGCACTGCTCTTTGTAGAGCTTATTCTCCAACTTTAAATCTTTCTGGAGCTTGCACTTGGCCACACCAACAGCCCTGGCAGCAAACAACAGGCAGTTCCCTAGGACTGTCAGGTACAGATGATACACACAGCATAGTGCTATTTACAGGGAAGAGTAACGAACACAGTGCTATTTTGCTGGCTTGTTTTTTGTTTGTTTTGTTTTGTTTTAAGATTTATCTTTCCATTTTAGGGACACTTGGGTGGCTCAGTTGGTTAAGCATCTGCCTTCGGCTCAGGTCATGTTCTCGAGGTCCTGGGATGGAGCCCGGGTCAGGCTCCCTGCTCTGTATAGAGCCTGCTTCTCCCTCTCTCTCTGCCGATCTCCCAGCTTGTTCTCTCTCTCTCTCTTCCTCTGCGCCCCCTCTCGTGCTCTCTCTCTCTCATTCTATTTCCAATAAATAAATAAAAATCTTTAAAAAAAAATTTACCTATCCATTTTAGAGAGAGTGTGTGTGCATACGCATGAGCAGAGGGAGAGAGGGAGAGAATCTCCAGCAGACTCCCTGCAACACGGGGCTCCATCCCAAGACCTTGAGATCATGACCTGAGCCAAAATCAAGAGTGTGATGCTTAACCAACTGAGCCACCCAGGTGCCCCTACTGGCTTGTTATCTAAAGTTTAAGTAGCTAAAGTTAAGTTTTTGCTGTTGTTTTGGTCTAGGAAAATCACATGTAATAAATCCCTTGTTTTGAATATAAGAATGAGGTACACAATTTTTATTGAATTGTTTCTTTTCACTTTGATAACACCAAATCAATATTGGGAAGGTGCCAAATTAATGGCTTGCCCACCGCACCCACACACCGTGGCCCCGCCCTCCTTGCACAGGGGCATAGGTAGCTGTGAAGACCCCTTCAAACCAAACTGGACTGATAGCAACTCCGTAACAATGTTATAGAAAGACCTGCACAAGAGAGCACAGGAACTGACTCCTACCCACACATAGAACATAATCATTAAAGCCTGGGCATACATGTGACTCCTCTAAGTGAGCTGCCACTGGTCAGTTTTTGAACCATGTCACTTTCAGAATAAACACAAGTTTGAGATCTAAACACATCTCAAAAAAAAAAAAAAAAAAAACATTTAAATCTTTACTGAAGTCTCCTTTATAAATGCCAAAGGGGAATTTGTTTCATCTCTTACACTTTGAGGCAAGCACCCCCACATGTCAATGCCTTCCCCCAAACTCCTCAAAACACATTACCTCCCACCACTGACTCCTGCTTTCTTCCCTCCTCTTCCAGTTTCCGAAATCTTTTCTCCCATGAATAGCTCTATCTTCTTTCTAGTATAGATCCATCTAGACTTTTTGTGCTTCTTTTGTCTTCTCTAATATTCAAAGTAAATCGACAAGATAGAATTCTTTTGCACATTTGATCCAATAATTGATACTTCCTTGATAAATCCAGAGAATAGTTCTCTAGCCTATCTATAAGGATGTCATGAAAGATGTTAGATGATTTGCTAAAATTCAGCTATCCTCTTCCTATAGTGGTCCCTGATTAAAAAAGAAAATTTTAAATTCTAAAGTTATTTAACAATATATCTTCTTGTGTATGTTAGATATTAAAAATAAAACATTAGGGTAGGTATCTTCGCAGCCTCTTTCCCTCTCCTGGATTTAATAAGGAAAGAGCCTCTCTTTCTTGGTTGAGGGCCTGAGGTAACTCACAGTCATCACAAAAAAAAAATGGGCAAAATAAGCAGAAGATATAACCCCCAGTCCATTCCTGATTTTGTGTATACACACACAATCATTAGATCTGGGCTCTCTAATGATGTACTATATGTTGGCTAACTGAACATAGTAAATAAATAAACAAACAAACAAATAAAAAATCAAGAGTCTCACTTGGGCTGAGAAAATGCCCTTCAGCTATTGATACTGTTCACTTTGGACCCCTCATCTACACATCTGAAAATATAAGCCAAAGTCACCAAACATGGGACAGGTAAAACAGGATGAAAGACAAGAACCAAACGTGACAAGTAGAAGAATGAACCTCAAGGAAGCAGAATACAGGAAACAAAAAATTTTTAAATAAAGAGATTCAAGGGAATATCACATTTGTTTTAAAAAAGGTGTGGGGGGGAACCAGTTTCAATGAAAAGAAGCAATCACAGTACTTGAAGATCAAAAAGTGTTCAGTCAAACTGGGTATTTACCCCAAAGATACAAATGTAGGGATTTGAAGGGGTACATGCACCCCGATGTTTATAGCAGCAATGTCCACAATAGCCAAACTGTGGAAAGAGCCAAGATGTCCATCGACAGATGAATGGATAAAGAAGATGTGGTAAATATATACATTGGAATATTATGCAGCCATCAAAAGGAATGAGATCTTGCCATTTGCAACGATGTGGATGGAACTGGAGGGTATTATGCTGAGCGAAATAAGTCAATCAGAGAAAGACATGTATCATATGACCTCACTGATATGAGGAATTCTTAATCTCAGGAAACAAACTAAGGGTTGCTGGAGTGGTGGGGGGTGGGAGGGATGGGGTGGCTGGGTGATAGACATTGGAGAGGGTATGTGCTATGGTGAGTGCTGTGAATTGTGCAAGACTGTTGAATCACAGATCTGTACCTCTGAAACAAATAATACAATATATGTTAAAAAAAAAAAAGAAGAAGAAGAAGATAGCAGAAGGGGAAGAATGAAGAGGGAGAAATCGGAGGGGGAGATGAACCATGAGAGGTGATGGACTCTGAAAAACAAATTGAGGGTTCTAGAGGGGAGGAGGGTGGGGGGATGGGTTAGCCTGGTGATGGGTATTAAAGAGGGCACATTCTGCATGGAGCACTGAATGTTATATGCAAACAATGAATCATGGAACACTACATGAAAAACTAATGATGTAATGAATGGTGATTAACATAATAAAAAAATGGTGCTGAAAGGAGAAAACAGAAACCAAGGGGATGGAATAATCAAAGAGGTGATGGAAGAAAGATGGCAATCTTCTGATTATGAAAGCTCCAACAAGTGCTGCATAGGATAATTTTTTTTAATTTTTTTATTTTTTAAAATTATGTCTCCTACCCAAGACCCCAAGAACGAGTCCCATGCTCTACCAACTGAGCCAACCAGACACCCCGATAATTTTTTTAAGATTTATTTATTTTAAACCATGCGTGTGCATGAGTAGGGGGAGGGGCAGAATAAGAGAATCCTCAAGCAGACTCCCCCATGAGCACTGAGCTGGAGGTGAGGCTCAACCTCACACTCCTGAGATCATGACTCGAGCCAAAACCAAGACTTGGACCCTTAACCAACTGAGCCACCCAGACGCCCCCATTTTTTTTTTAAATCACACCTAGACACATTCTGGTAAAAATTCAGAACTCCAAGGAGGAAAATCCTATAAGCCTCTAAACACAGAGAGAAAAAAAGTCACCTACAAAAGCACAAGTAAAATCAGACTTGTAACATCAATGCTGAAGACAGATGGCAATATCTTTAAGAAAATAGTTTTGGACAGTGAAAAGATCAATTATGAGAGCAAAATACAAAGATTTTTTCATGTGTTAGCCCATACATCACCTATGAAAAAAAAATTACTTATGGGCATAATCTAGCATGATAAAAAGGAAAGCAAAAAGGAGGCTCACATGGGACTCCAGAAAGGGTGGCTGAGGAATATAAGCTAAAGGAAGAGAGGAAGATAGTTTAAAAGAATATTTTTTTAATTAATCCATTTGACTGTTTCATTTAGAAGAGTCTCTTTCCAGTAGTAGATGTTTAATGATACTGATCATATTTCTTTTGTTATGGGTCGAATCAAATGATAGGTTCTACACTGAATAATATTTATATAATCACAACAAATTCAAGATTGTTTTTTAGTTTTCCATGTATGGAGTCATTTATTGAAAAGAATAAAGACATAATTATACTTACATAATAAAATGTAAATGTTATAAACCTTTTCTCTGTAAAAATAATTGCTCCAAAAATTTAAGATGGGGAGAAAAAGAAAAGGTTAAGCAATATTCTAATCTCTTTGTACTTCATGGCAGAGAGTAAATAAAGGCTGTTTAGAGATAATAAATCAAGAATAAAATACATGTGCACATTATTAAAATTATTATGGCAAACAGTAGAAGAATTAACACAAGAGTAGTTACTATGGGAATGCCTGCCTTCAGCTCAGGCCCTGATCCCAGGGTCCTGGGATCGAGTCCTGCATCAGGCTCCTTGCTCAGCAGGGAGACTGTTTCTCCCTCAGCCTGCCATGCTCACTCTCTCTCTCTCTCTCTCTCTGACAAATAAATAAATAAAATCTTAAAAAAAAAAAAGAATGGTTACTCTGGGGCTGTGTCTGGGAAGCGGTAGCATGGAGGGCAGGGAGGGATACTTTTACTTCTCGAATTTTATTACTTTCAAGTTGTAAAATTCTGCATGATTATTCTCTTACCATCTTTTCTGCGTTCTCTCCTCTCTACATATATATATTTGGATTCAAAGACCTTACCCTTCAGGCCATGCAGAGCCACTGAATATTCTTTTTTCTTTTTTTTGAAAGTAGGCTCCACATCCAGCATGGAGCCCAACGCAGGCTTGAACTCAACCCTGAGATCAAGACCTGAGCTGAGATCAAGAGTTGTACTCAGCTAACCAACTGAGCTGCCCAGGTGCCCCGCCACTGAATATTCTTAAGCAGAAAGTCACATGTGAAACTTGAAACATTACTAGTTTGCAGAGGGTCCTGGGTGGACAGCCTGGCCTGAGGGAACCAAGTCAGGAGCTGATTCACTCCATCTTCAAGTTCCTAGTATGCTCACATCCTCATCTCCCATTTGGTACCTACTTCATGCTGCCTGGAAATAAGGAGGGTCTTGAATGATTAAATAAATAAATACTACTACTCAGCCATTCTTCAGCACCAGCATTTCGAGTTTTCAACGTCAAATCTTTCTTCTCTTTCCCTCTCTCTTCCTCTCCACTACAGACCTACCCTTTCTTTGAAGACTCATGAGTTTTGATTCCTGCACGAAGCCTTTTCCAACTTGCCCTACCCTTTAGAGAGTGTTACAAAGGCAGACGAATCTCTAGTCTGCATCCAGAAAAAAAAATGAAAGGTAGATTTCCTCTGTGAAGATCATAAACGAGTTTGATAAAGACACCTGACATTTAAAGAGTGAAGACTGTCCTCTGCACCACCTCTTATAACATAATAAGCAATTGAATCCCCTTCACTTGCCGCAATTTATCTGTTGGATCAAATACATGTAGAAGTAGTCTTAAAAGATATGACTACACCCAAGTGATTGTTTTCCCAATCTTGTCTCTCACCTGATATATTGATTCTCGGCTGGAAATCTGTTTTATTAGAAATTTGGTATCCTCTTGACTTTTGACATAACCTTTTGTAATACTATACATCAAGCGGAGGCGCTTTTTGATCTGCACATCTACAATATTTATCAGTAGTGGGATTATTATCTGGAACAATGAAGAGGAAAAAAAGTGTGAAAATTTGATGAGGAAAAGCACCCTCAAAGGCAGGTGTTCTCAAAGTGTCATCTTGGGGAGCAGTGACATTACCCAGAGACTTGTTAGAAATGCAAATTCTCAGATACTTCCTAGCTCTAAATTTCTCCAGCCATAAGCTGAGGCAAGGGAGTGTCATGACTAAAGAAAATGGGATTTTAAATATAAACCCTCTGAGGTTCAAGTGAGAGCTCTCCTATTCACCAGTTCTATGACTTGAGCAAGTTACTTGTGACCTTGAGGATTCTGTCTCCTCATCTGTAAAATGAGGGTAGTAATACTTAAGTACCCGAAGTCCAACGGAGCAGCCCCTCACAACCAATACAGTCAATCACAGAGACAGAATCAGGTCAGAATGCAGGGTAGATGGTGAGGAACCAGGTCACAGAGGAGGAAGGTGACAAGAGCAAAATAACATCATAGCAAAGGAATTACAAGAGCAGAGAAAGAAGAGATTTTTAGCTGTTCTTATGCTCTTTGGCCAGAGGGAGGGATAACAAAGAGGATTTTTACAAAGTGTCATTCCATAATGCACTGACACCCCCTGAGCTGTTCCTAAGAGGATCTAAGGTAAAAATCTCCAATATTCTTCCAAGCTCTCCAATGTAGGCTTCTTTTGAAAGCCACATTGTACTGAGACTGGCTATTAGAGCACCTGACTTTATATGTGGTAACACCTACTTCACAGGGCTATTGCAATAATTTAATTAGATAATGTATATAAAGTGCTCTGCACAGTTCCTGGAACATAGTAAGTGCTCAATAGAAAATATTAATCCTGATTATATTAATTCCTTAAGTATACTTCATGGAGATTTGTCAAAGTGTGCTGGACAGAAGTAGCAACTGGTTCACACTCTGAATAGAGTTGACTTCCACAATAACACATCTTTAAATCTCTACTTCCCTCAGAGAGACATTTCACAAAGTATTACTCTACAATAATTTTACCTTCATCTGCATCCAATCTCTGTATAAAAACTGATTACCTAAGGAAGCTTCTCCTTTCCATTTTAAGACTTAGACTCATACTACACATCCTGATTTCTAGTGTACTTTGTGTTATGGTGGGGTTATACCTTATGTAGACACTTGGCTCTAAGCTCGTAAAGCAAAAATCACAAATAATCAAAATTACCCCTTAAAGTAGGGTTTATGTATACAACTCTGCATAGTAACGCTTTTGAACACCAAAGCTTGGTAACAATGATATAGAATCAAGGAAAGAACAGACAAAAAGTCTGCAAGTACAAGTCTGAGCATTCAAACAATTCTGCCTTTAAGAGACTACTAAACTTCATGGAGAATGGGAATAGTTGGAGGATTCTAATGAATCCCTTTTGTCACCAGAGTTTTCAGCCGTTGTTTTTTTTTTTTAACATTAATCCTTCATAACTTCAACACATACCAATAAACTTGTTTGACATAATAAGAATTAAAGAACTCAAAAAAAATGGAGTGGTAAATGAAATCATCTAAAGCTCCCACGTTAAAAGCTTATATAAGACAACTTCTTTGGAAAGAAAGGTTTAAGAGCTGAGACTGGAAATCTGAAAATCTACCTTCAGAATCAAAACCAGAGGTGTGGAAAGAAGGAATAGTAGCTGCTATAGAGACTGAAGGACACAGCAAAATTAAGTTCCATAGGCAGTATGCTATATAAAAATGGGTTGTAGAGAAAATATTTTCATGCTTCTGCACAGTTAGGCCTTTATGAGCAAATTTTACTAAAGCCTAGAAAACTTGTTTCTGGGTCACCATGGTTCAAGTGGCACCAACATTTTCATTCTTTCAGTCAACAAATATTTGATTAAGAACTTACTATATGCTAGGCACCATTCTAGAGCCATAGGTTACATCAGTGACCATACAAAGATCCCTAATTCATGGAGAGTACATGCAACATACAGTACAAAGGTAACAAGTGCTATGAGGAAAAACTAAACCTTAAGGAGGCGGGGGGGGCAGGAAGATGGGATGGGAAACTGGTATGTGTGGGGGGACCACACAGGGTGGTAAGGGAAGGCATTCTCTGCGAGAAGGTGAGAGGGTGAACCAGGCAGACACCTGTAGAGACAGCATTCCAGAAAACAGCTCCTTCTCTTGTTTCCTTCAAAATAATGAGGTTTCTTAACACATTTAACAGTGTAGAAAAAAAAACCAATATTTAGAAGTGTGATGTTTTACCTTGATGAAAGGAATAAACCTGATTATTCTGAAATATCCTAGTATTACTGTAATTTGAATAAGGACGAAGTTGTCTGGTCTCAATTTGACAAAGTATATACAAAAGATATCCATGATTCCAAGAAGCATGATAAGAAAGTCCAAAGTATTCCAATATTGATGAAAGTATTTCCTTTTCAAAATTACTATCTATTTAGAAAACAAATGGAATGTACATTATTTCATAGTACCTATACAGTGATGGGGGAGGGGATGGGTCTTCAAAATTAACAGTTCAGTCCTCAACTACAAATGAGTTGTAATCCAAAAGTTGAGTTTTAAGTTATTCATTTGGAGTTCCAAACAAATATTTTTAATCTCCAACATCAAAATCATAATTTGATTCAAAATATATATAATCTATAATGAAATTGAAATGCCAAAAGCAAGTAGTTAAACATAACAGTAAAGAGAGTCATTGCAACACTATTAATAACAAAGTATGAAAACAGTAATGCTGACAAATCATCTTTGAAGCATTTATCCTAAAAAGTAGTTCTCGGGACGCCTGGGTGGCTCAGTAAGTTAAGTGTCTGCCTTCGGCTCAGGTCATGATCCAGGGGTCCTGGGATTGAGTCCCATATCAGGCTCCCTTCTCAGCAAGGAGCCTGCTTCTCCCCCCTGCCTGCCACTCCCCCTGCTTGTGTTCTCCCCTGCTCTCTCTCTGACAAATAAATAAATAAAATTTAAAATATAAATAAATAAATAAATAAATTTTTAAAAAGTAGTTCTCATGACAAGAACCTAGCAAACCAGTTTGGGTTTATTCACTTATTTGCTTTTTGCATCATTATAGAGAGTATTTGAGGGAAACAACCATTTGTATTTTCCATCTGGATTTCCATTTCTCTTGCATGTCATTGGGATTCTCTCCACTTTTATGATACTTATCTTTCCTGATATCCAAGACCATGACTATTCTACTGATTAAATTATTAAACTCAGAAAATTCAAAAAAGATTACTAAAATTCCAGGATCCTATCAACTATTACAGCAAACGGCTTCTAGTATCAAATTATTTCACGATGACAAAAATAGATTCAAAGATATCTGAATTGTTCTTTTCATTGGATACATTTTATTTTAAACAGTACCTTCAGTGCTGATCGAAATATGTATAAAAATACAAAATAGTTGTTTACTGATATAAGTGCTGACACATTTAACTCTCTTGCCATTGGCCATAGATGCATTATAATAGGATAAATGTACATTACTGTTATAACATGTCCTGCATATTCAAATTCTTCTGAAAATACCATGTGATACACAAAAAGCAGAAATTTATTATTCCTGGGAAAAAAAGAGACCAATAAAATGTTAGATCACTTTAAAAATATAACAATTGTGATCTGAAGTTCAACATTTGTTCTAACAAATCATTAATTTGAAAAAGAGTATAAAAATATAAAATAAATAAGCAGAAACCTAAAGCATACTTTCTGTACATAATAATCATCACGGAGAAAGATAAAAATATAGCTCTTATTAATCTATATCAGGATGGGGAGCATTTTTTAAAATCAAGTCTAATAGTACGTAGGAAACAAGGCAAAGATTCATTCATCAAAAGCAAGAAATAAGTAAATATAGAAAAAAAATCAGCATCACTTAAAAGTAAGAACAGGAAACATATTCTATTCAGTAATTACCATGACATATATTTTTTTTTAATTTTTCCAATCCATCCTAAGTAGAGCCTAACAAAAAGTGGTTATCTAGATATATGTCAAAACCCTAGGGTTTTAATTCCTTATATTTCTCTTTAAACTTAATACATGGAAAAAAGTTTAAAAATTATCAGGATTTGTTATGAAAGGTATGTCAACACTCAAAATTTAGTAGCATGAATTTTCTGATATTTCTCATTTTTATATCTTTTGTTAATAGAAAAACCTTGTCTTCCTGCTCTAAGTTCACAACTTATGATAAAGCAAAGAGTTTACACAAGTTAAGTAAATCTGTATCTTGTGATATTTTGGGAAATTGGTTACAGGTATTCTTAAGGCCATGCTGCGTTTTTCCTAGTTATGGACATTAACAGAACCACCCCATGGCACAGATGAATTTGAGAGGAAAATGTAGGCCCTGAGTTTGATATTTCTCTCCCCTGCTCAGTGTTATACCCAGAAGAATATGAAAGCAGTCCAGTTTGTAATATGACCCCAAGACATGGCAATTGCCACTTAAAGAGTCCAAATATGACCAGTCCTTGTTTCTTCTTCCTACCCACTAATAGAGGTATCAACAAAGTTGCTTAAACAGAATGAAGAGAAGCAAGTGCTCTGCTCCTTCACCACTCGATCAATAAGAGTTGACCATAATATTAGTTAATTTTTTTAATAAGGAAAATCAATGTAATCAATGTTGACAATGTGGAAAAGATCATATTATTAGCTATATTGCTATTAAAGGTTTACAATTACTTACCCATACATAATAAGAGATGCCTTATCTTTATGATATTCCAAGAAAGCTAACATGTTTTTAAACTTGATAAGCCAACTTCTAGCTCTTACATAATTTGAAACATCATAAATACTCATGAATCTAACAGAGAAAAATAGACATATATGTTAAAATAAAAATAAAGTGCTATACTTTGGGGTAATATAAAAAGGGAAAGTTTATTAAAAATGCTCTGTCCTGAGCCTCTGTTTCCATCCACCTACCCACCCACGGTCAGGTACAGGAAACCTCTGTTGCCTCTGTCCCTGGAACCATTCTTGACTTGAGGTAGAACATAATTAAAGCTTCTCCAGACCAGTTCTTTGGGGTTCAGAATCAAGCTCCCCTTTGTCATGGGCCTCGCCTAGCTCCAGCCTCTCCAAGGCCCTACCCTTTCCAAACTTTAGGAACTGATGTTAGATCTCCCAGATAGATTACCAGACTGCTGAAATGTTACTATCACCTGGCAGGATTTCCTATCATTGTTGCCCCCACAAGCTTTGTCTTGGATCATCCATTAGCGAATGCTTGCCAGGACTATGACCAGATATAGACATATCTCCAAGATACTTGAACTTTTCATATCAAATTTAATTGCCTCGCCAAGGTCCATCAGTTGGGTCATTTCCTTCAAGGCTTGCTCCACCTGACTAATGGCAGGCTCCAGGCTTCCCTTCCTACCTTATCCAGTAACTTAGTAAATATGATATAATGAAAAGATAAATATAATAGTATATGAAATTACATAGATTCTCTTTCATGGCTCCCCTAGTCTCTTACTTAATTACACTGTAGTCAGATATTCCTCCAGAATCTCCTAATGACACCAAAGTTATGAACCTTCAGTGGGAAAAAATGTAAACAAGTAAAATAAGAAGTAGATGGATATATGGATGGATGGACAGATAGATGAAGATAAGTGAGATAAATAGATTGATCAATCTGGACGTTTAACTCTCAGTTTGATTTTTTTTTTTTACCATATACCCATTTGATTTTGGAAATAACAATTTAAGAAGTATTATACTTACTTTCCTCGGATGGGGCAATAGCTTTTGGTTGCACCAATTAATATCCGGGCTGCCTCTACACTGAGGATTCCATCATTACACTGTTTTTCAAAGCTACTCTAAACATACAATTTTAAATAAACATTACAAAGGACCAAACATAATATAATATAATATATTCTGCTTTACCTTTACATAGCCCTCACTATTAGTACTGAATTCATTATAGGAAAATATACTTTTACCAGAAAAATCCTGTAGCAGCAAAAAAATTCATTCAATTTAAATATTTACTGAATATTCATTTTTTTGCAAAGTACTATCCTGGATGCAATAAAAGATACCAAGTTTCCTAGCTTCAGAAACTCAAAATCTATACAAGTCAAAGAGTTTTCTTTAGTAATATAAACAGCATCATAGCATCATCTTTCTGCAGCAGGATAGTGCAAAGTATTAATTCAAAGGTTAACTAATCATCTCAACCTCTTAAAGAACTACCAAGAGAGAAAAGTAAATTGTGTTCTTTTTTTCCCCTTTTTGCTAGCTTTATTGTGATATAATTGACATGTAACATTGTGTAAATTTAAGGTGTATAATGTGATGATTTGATACACTCATCTATATTGCAAAATGGTTACCACAGTAAGATTAGTTAACTCGTCCATTATCTCACATAATTACAACTTTTTGTGTGTGATTTAAGATCCACTCTCTTAGTAACTTTCAAGTATATAATATAGAATTGTTATAGTCACCATGCTGTATATTAGAGCCCCAGAATTTATTCATCTTATAACTGGAAGTTTGTACACTTTGGTTAACATTGCCTCCATTTCCTTTACCTCCCAACCCCTGGAAACCACCATTTCACTCTGTTTCTATGCATTTGACTTTCTTTTTTTTAGATTCCACACATAAGTGAAACCATACAGTATTTGTCTTTCTCTGTCTGACTTATTTTACCTAGCATAATGTCCTCAAATCACAAATGACTGTTCTGTGGTTGAATAACATTCCATTAGACTGATAGATGATAGATGATAGAAAGATGATGATGATGATAGATAGATAGATAGATAGATAGATGATAGATAGATAGATAGATAACATTTTTTTTTATTCATCCATCAGTGGACACTTAGGTTGTTTCCATGTCTTGACTATTGTGAATAATGCTGAAAGAAACATGGGAGTAGAGAGATCTCCTTGAGATTCTATTATCATTTCCTTCTGACATATACCAAGTGGGGTTTCTAGAATGTATGATAGTTCTAGCTTTAATTTTTTGAGGAATCTTTATATCATTTTCTGTAGTGACTGTACCAATTTACATTCCCACCAACAGTGCACAAGAGTTCCCTTTTCTCCACATCTTAGCCAACATATATCTCTTGTGTTTTGGGGATAGTCATTCTAACAGATGTGATGTGATATCTCATTATACTTTTTTTTTCAAGTTATTTTAGTCACCTGGTGGTCATCACAAGTGCATTCCTTTATCCCCATCACCTGTTGCATTCATCTCCCTACCCACCTCCCCTCAGTTTGTTCTCTATAGTTCTGTTTCTTGGTTTGTCTCTATATTTTCCCTTGGCTTGTTTTGTTTCTTAAATTCCATATATGAGTGAAATTTATGGTATTTGTCTTTCTCTGACTCACTTCATTTATCATTATACTCTCCAGCTCCATCCATGTTGTAGCAATATTATACCACTTTTTTATCCATTCATCAATCAATGGACACTTGGGCTGCTTCCATATCTTGGTTATTATAAATAATGCTGCTATAAACATAGGAGTGCATGTATCCCTTTAAATTAGGGGTTTTGTATTTTTGGGGTAAATACCCAGTAGTGTGATTCCTGGATCAGAGGGTAGTTCTATTTTTAACTTTTGAGGAACCTCCATACTGTTTTCCACAATGGCCACACCAGTTTGTATGCCCACCAACAGTGCAAGAGTGTTCCCCTTTCTCCACATCCTCACCAATACCTGTTGTTTCTTGTGTTGATTTTAGCCATTCTGACAGGTGTGAGGTGATATTTCTCTGTAGTTTTGATTTGCATTTTCCTGATGATCAGTGATGATGAACATCTTTTCATGTGTCTGTTTGCCATCTGCATGTCTTGTTTGGAGAGGTGTCTGTTCATGTCATCTGCCCATTTTTTAATTGGATTATTTGTTTTTTGGGGTGTTGAGTTTTATGAGTGCTTTATACATCTTGGATATTAACCCTTTATTAGATATGTCATTTGCAATATAACTTCTTCCATTCCATAGGTTGTCATTATAGTTTTGATTAGCATTTCCCTGATGATTAGTTATGTTGAGTACCTCTACATGTGGTTGGCCATTTGTATGTCTTCTTTGGAAAAGTGTCTATTCAGGTCCTCTGCCTATTTTTACTCAGATTATTTGGGTTTTTTTTTCTATTGACTTTTGTGAGTTTCTTATATTTTTTGGATATTAACCTCTTATCTGACATATGGTTTGCAAATCATTTCTCCCATTCTATAGGTTGCCTTATCATTTTATTGATTATTTTACTGTTCAGAAGCTTTTTTAGTTGCAGTTGGTTCTGTTGCTTGTGTCTTGGGTAACATATTAAAAAATTGGTTGTCAAGACCAATGTTAAGGAGCTTTTTCTTTATGTTTTCTTCTAAGACTTTTATGGTTTCAGTCTTATATCTAAATCTTTAATCCATTTTGAGTTAATTTTGTGAGTGGTATAAGATAGAGGCCCAATTTCATTCTTTTGCATGTGAATACCCAGTTTTCCCACAATTTATTGAAAACACTAACTTTTCCTCATTGGTATTTTTCACTCTTTTGTCAAATATTAGTTGACCATACATGCATGGGTTTATTTTGGGTGTCTCAATTCTGTTCTGTTGGTCTATGTGTCCGTTTTTATGCCAGTACTGTACTGTTTTGGTTACTATAGCTTTGTAGTATAGTTTGAAATCAGGAAGTGTGATGCCTCCAGCTTTGTTCTTTCTCAAAATTGCTTTGGCTGTTCAGGTTCTTTTGTGGTTTTATACACATTTTTGGATTGTTTATTCTATTTTTGTGAAAAGGGCCATTGGTATTTTGATAGAGATTGCATTGAATCTATAATGGCTTTAGGTAATATAGGCGTTTTGACAATATTAATGTTTCTGATCCATGAACATATCTTTCCACTTATTTGTGTCTTTTTCAATAACTTTCGTCAGTGTTGTATAGTTTTCATTGTACAGATCTTTCTCCTCCTTGGTTAAATTTATTTCTAAGAATTTTATTGATTTTGGTGCTATTGTAAATGGGATTATTTTCTTTAATTCTGTATCACAGAATTCCTTGTTAATGTACTTAAATACAAATGATATTTTTATGTTGATTTTGTATTCTGCAAATTTACTGAATTCGTTTATTAGTTTTAACAGTTTTTTGGTGGACTCCTTAGGATTTTCTTTTTTTTTTTTAAGATTTTGTTCATTTATTTGAGAGCGAGAGAGAGAGAGTGAGAGATCATGAGTGGGGGAGGGGCAAAAGGAGAGGGAGAAGCAGACTCCCCACTGAGCAGGGAGCCCAATGCGGGGCTCCAACCCAGGACACTGGGATTCTGGCCTGAGCCAAAGGCAGTTGTTTAACCAACTGAGCCACCCAGGTGCCCCTTATGGTTTTCTATATGTAAGATCATGTCATTTGCAAACAGAGACAGTTTTATTCCTTCCTTTCTGATTTGGATGCCTTTTTCTTTCTTTCTTTCTCTCTTTCTTTCTTTCTTTCTTTCTTTCTTTCTTTCTTCCTTTCTTTCTTTCCCTTTCTTTCTTTCTTTCCTTCTTTCTTTCTTCTTTTTGCCTGATTGCTCTGACTAGGACTTTTAGTACTACGTTGAATAGGCATGGTAAGAGTGGGCATCCCTGTCTTGTTCTTCATCTTGGAAGAAAGCTTTCCACTTTGCACCATTGAGTATGATGTTAGCTGTGGGTTTGTTGCACATGGTCTTCATTATACTGAGGTATGTTTCTTCTACACACAATTTGCTGAGAGTTTTTATCATGAAAGGGTGTGGAATTTTGTTAAACGCTTTTTCTGCATCTATTGAGGAAATCATATTATTTTTATCCTTCATTCTACCAATGTGGTGTTTGACTGAATTGTGGATATTGAGCCATCCTTGCATCCCAGGGATAAATCCCACTTTATCATGGTTCATGATCCTTTTAATGTGCTGTTGAATTTCATTTGCTAGTATTGTGTTGAGAATGTTTGCATCTGTATTTTTCAACAGTATTGATTTGTATTTATCTTTTCTTGTAGTGTCTTATCTGGCTTTTGGGTACCAGGATAATGTTAACCTCATAAAATGAGTTTGGGAGTGTTCCCTTCTTTCAATTTTTTGAGACTTTGAGAAGGACTGGCATAAATTTCTTCTTTAAAACGTTTGGTAGGGGGCGCCTGGGTGGCTCAGTTGTTTAAGCATCCAACTCTTGATTTCGGCTCAGGTCATGATCTCAGGGTCATGAAATTAAGCCCCACATCAGGCTCCATGTTCAGCAGGGAATGTGCTTGAGATGCTCTCCCTCTCCCACTGCCCTTCCCCCTCCCACTCTCTCTCTCTAAAATAAATAAATAAAAATCTTTTTTAAAAATGTTTGTTAGAGTTCACAGTGAAACCATCTGGTCCTGTGCTTTTCTTTGTGGGGAGGTTTTTATTTTTTTATTATTATTTAAATTTGAGTCAGTTAACATATAGTGTAGTATTAGTTTCAGGAGTAGAATTTAGTGATTCATCAGTTGCATATAACACCTAGTGCTCATCCCAACAAATGTCCTCCTTAATGCTCATCACCCATTTGTTCCATCCCCCCACCCACCTCCCCTCCAGCAACCCTGTTTGTTCTATATAGTTAACTGTTTTATGATTGCCTCCCTCTCTGTTTTTATCTTATTTTTCCTTCCCTTCCCCTATGTTCATCTGTTTGGTTTCTTAAACTCCATGTATGAGTAAAATCATATATTTGTCATTCTCTGACTGACTTATTTTGCTTAGCGTAATACATTCTAGTACCATCCACATCATTGCAAAAGGCAAGATTTCGTTCTATTTGATGGCTGAGTAATATTCCATTGT